TGGGCTACCGTGTGTGGCCAGCAGCCAGCGTGAGCGGCCAGCAGCAGGTGTGAGCTGCCAAGAGCCACTGTGAGCGGCCATGCAGAGGCCGGAGGCCGATCTGCCTCACCCGGGAAGAGCGCAATGATAATACCAACATGGGCCAGTGAAGCAACGTCCTCCACAACTAGACTGAAGAACCAAAGGACAGCAACTTGTCTGCTCCCCTTCCCCGATTCCCCAACACCGTTACCCTCTCCCAATTCTCCAATAAAATCTTTAAAAAATAATAATAAATGCAGGTATAGGCCAAGTTACTAAGTAATTAATCATGGGTACTTTGACACATGACTTAGGAAGTTGTTGCCCAAAAGCAAAGACTCCTGTAAAATTTTTAAAAAACCAGATGTAATACAAAAGCCTGAAAACTAATGATATTCATTACTGAATACAAAAACTAGCCATGGATATTACACTGTTTTAAAACTAGTTTCAGAATGAAGATGGTTTATCTTGATGTTGATGATAACCAACTCAATAATTTAGTAAAGACTGAAGTGATTTACAGCAGTTTCCTATCATGATTTTTACTTTCCTGCTTTGCTAAAATGCAAAGGCGGTATGCAAACATTCTTGAATTGTAAGTTGCCTGAACATGAAAAAGAATTTTTATTTTCTCTTCTAAAAAGTCTTAAAAGGAAAGCTTTCATTATGTCCACTCAATGTTATAGGCAATCAATTAATTTAAATAAACACAGTAAATATCAATGGTGGCTTCTGTTTATCATAATTACAGATTTTCTCATTTCTCTCCCCAGAATAAATTTTAAAAGTTCTTACCTAATTCATAGAGATGTCCATCTACGTGAACTAATGCAATAAAATGAAGATCCACTTTTTCATCTATATTTGGTGCCTAGGAGGGAAAAATACATATTACATATGTTAGTAGTCAAACTAATCAATCAAGTACATGTAAACACATACAGATAATCTATCAAATGACGTGAGAGAGTATTTATCCAAAATAATTCAAGGCTTAACCTTTGATATGGTAGACAAAGAGTGAATATGTTTTCATTTATAACAACATGCTTACCCACCAAAAAGAAAAATGTCAACTAAAAGCATACCTTTCTTAATCTCAACAATCTAAAAACCTCAAGTTTTGTTCACCTTTAAAGCTCCAATGGTTAGCACAATGCCTGGTATATAGCAGATGCACAATGAATACTTGCTGAATTGAAATGAATGCATGAAGTGATTTCTCTAATTTTTGAAATTTGAAATACAAACGTTTTTAAAAATTTAATAATAGCATAGACAGTTCAAAAAACCAACTCTTTGTAAGTTAATTTTTAAGACATCAAGAAAGTTCTTCCCTGAATGACTTGACCTTGATAATCTCACTTTTTAAACAATGCAATATAAAGTGTTAGAATTAAAAAAAAAGTGTCTTCATTCATCTTAGATTCAAAAAGTTTAAAAATGAATTGGTGCAGGAAAATAATCCAAAAGATTAAAGGATAAGAGCAAATTAAAGTACAATGAACTATAGCCTATGATTTGATTTTTTCTCTTGCTTTCTTAGTGAACTATTTGAAATTAAAAGTATACCTTTGTGGTTTGTTTTTGTTGTCTTTTTTTTTGGTTACCAAATTCAATTTGCATGAGCAATATCTACTACATTTGTTAGACATTCAAGTAACATATGCAAAGTAAAGTAAATACATGATTAACTGCTAGTGTCTATAATTGCAGTGACTACAGTTAACACTAATATGTGTTACTATATATCAAATGTAAATGGTTTGAAATTAAATACAATCGTTATTAAATGCAAGTACAAATTTTAGAGGCAGAAGTTTTACAGAGGCATACCGGTAAATCAAATTATATCTCATATTACTTAACATCCTGTAAGTAACACAACAGTACCTTAACTCTAAAATGTATACTTTTCTCACCCTCTAGTAATTATATAATTTTTTATATAATTGTTGTCATTGTAATATGAAGTCTTCAGATGCGGAAATTAAAAGGTACACAAGAAACATTATCTTGGATTTACAATATGGTTCTAAAACATTTACAGATAGAATGACTCATCACGTTATTCTTCAGAGATTCTTTCACTCAAGTTTACGAATGAGAACCACAACAAAAATTGATGTGGCAAACGAGGGCTTCCTAACTTCAAGTTAGAAGTAAAGAATTCCGCAGTTGGTAGGAATCCAAGTTAACTGGTTTTTCTGTTGCTCCGATACTAGATTCCTCTCTACCACAGCCCCATCTTGTGGTAGGTACTATTGTGGTAGGTAAGGAGTCCCCAACAACAGGGAATTGTCCCTAGGTTTTGAGGCAGTGCATTCCATCTTTGGGCAGTGCTGTTAAAGTTCCCCTCAAACTGAGACAAAAAATGTTTTCCATCATCTTATACAAAGTCTAATCGCTCTTGAATATGGTATTCTTCAAATACTTAAAAATGGTGATAATGAGTCCTTTACTTCCCTGGTCTGACGATCAAATATATTAGTGATCATTCAATCCAATACCCTAATTTAACCAACGAGCAGCAGAGAATCTAGTTCTGCAAGTCTAAACCAACGCAATTCTTCAAACTACAAATTCAATTCTATAAAAAAACAAAACAAAACACTAGAAATAATTATTTATCCAACTAGGAAAAGATCTCGTTTTACTTAAGATATAATTCACCAATAAGATATCAAGTATTTTAAGACAAATATATCCTATAGCTTCTATATGTCATATTTGTCAGTAAATAAAACCATGCTAGAGATTAAAGTAATATGACTGGAGTCAGAGACCTAAATATGTACCCAATCCCTGTGAGCACTGGGTTTCTTACCTGTTTTGAGGTTTAAATAAAATGAATGAAAGTACACTGTAAACTGTTAAGTGTTATCTAAATATTATGTATTATTACAATATTAATACTATATTATCACAAATGTAAAAAAATCACTAAATCTAGTGACTCAAAATTGTGAGTCTTTTATCCAAAAGTGCATACTAAAGAATACAACACTCTGAAAAGGACATGAAAGGCCTTCAAATTATTATAAAAGGTAAGTAAAGTTAAAAACTTCTAAGCCTCCCACAAAACATCAGTACCTGTGATGAGCCCTTTTCTTTGGTCAACTTTAATTAGTCCGAAAGTCTGAAATCTGCAATTATCCAATTGCTTAAAAATTATTCTACCCAAAAACAAGAATAAATAAAAAGCAAATTCCAATAAGTTTTCTGATTCAAAAAGTGACCAATATATAATTAAACAAAAGGCAAAAACCAGAAGCTATAGGTTGGATCATTTTTACCTGCACTTATATATAATATTTTTATAAAGTTCCATAATTTAGAATACGTATCTCAAAGAATTAAAAACATAACAAATTAATCAGATAAAAATTAATACTAAATAGAAATGTCAAATTATAAACAAATATATTTTAAATTTATCATTGTATGGCACTTAATATATACCAGGCACTATTCTAAGTACGTTAATATTATTCACCAATTAATCATCATATAGATCGTACAAGGTAATATAGCTATACTCATTTTACTCAAGGAAACTGAGGCACAGAAGTGTTAAGTAACATGCTGTAGGTCACACAGCTATAAAGTGATGTAATTTGGTTTCAAATCCACGCAGTGTCATTCTAGAATCCTTAGTGTTCTTAACCACTAGGCTATGAAAATATTTATGAAGCTACAAAGCAATGGAATTAATATGGAGAAAAGATCAACAATATATAAAACAGGAAAAAACAATTTTTATGACGTGTTCAATTATATTTAGAATATTTTTAAGTACAAAGGAATTTATTCATATTTATAATAAATTGTGCCCAAGTCAGAATTTACAAAATTAGGATTTTACTGTGATCACTTGATTCGCCTTATATCTCCCTACTTTGCCAAGTAGTGTATGGCACGGCAGGAAAGCAACAAATATCAAATGAAAAATGAATAAAAATGACAAATGCACATTGTGACCCAATGAGGATAATGAAATAGACATCAGTTTGTTGATACTCAGCACAAATGAAACGCTGTTTTGATGACCATACTGATATTTGGTAAAAGCAGATGTTTAAGTGTCAAGACACCACTTCATAACTTGAGTATAGCTCTAGAGGAGTAAATAAGGGGGAGGGAACAAGGTTTGACACCAACTTTTTTTTTAAGCTTTAAATGTCTGTGTAATCAGAGTTCATCTGGCTTTAAAAGTCATGATGATTTATAAAAGTGTTAAGTTTCTTATAAAGATATGGCATACACCAAAACTTTCAGATGTAGCATTTGTAGGTAGGCTCTACCAAACCAGTCATTACCACTAACAGACGAAAACACCAGAGAGATTAGATCTGTAGGTGCCAAATCCTGCAGTTTACTTCAATTCTGAGATTATTAAAATTCTATCATCAACCTCAACATTTAAGATAATTAGCAAGATTACAAGAACAAATGTACTTTTTAATGCTATAGTTTGTTAATATTATCAACCTAAGAAGGAGAAATCATAAAATTTGTGGGAAGCCTACATCAATTCAAAGGAGAAAATCTTCACCTCCCACTTGGAAAGATGTTTAGAAACTGAATAGGCAGGGAAGATTGGATCAAGATTAACCAAGTACCTGAGCCACCTCAGGGAATAAAATAGTTTAGATGAAACACCCTACACCATGAAGGATTAGATTAAGGATAGAGTAAGTTAAGCACCCCAGAGCATGACAAGAGACTCAAGTCATGTTCAGAAACGTGGAAAAAAATAAATAAAGAGATGGCAAAGAACTCAGAAGGTACACAGCATTTGTTGACCTGAGTCAACTAAATGAAATCAGAAAGATGAAGGGTAAGAGAATACATATTTACTTTAACAACTAAAAGGAACTTAAACATTATCATGAATGTTGATCAGTATTCATCAAAAGGCAGGCACCCTTATGTGGGCAGGATATGGAGTGGAAAGATGAATGTTCACCAAGGCACTGGCGAGAGTCAAGCTAGACTGCAAAGCATAGAGGTATGCTTGCAATCTTATTGGGGCAGAAAAAGCTAATGGTTGAGTGAACCAAGAGGAAAGCACTTGAAAGACTGAAGAAGTTTAAGGGGAAAAAAAGGACTGTCCTTGTCACTGGAAGAGACGGAAGATTGACTACACTTACAACAGAATGGAGACCCATAGATGGTAGGCGTAAGAAGGGTCGCCAGCGACGAAGACGGAGAGATGGACTGGTAGCCTTTGCAGGGTCTACATGGTTACGTTTGACCCAGGGCAGGGATGCATGGTGACACAATGATGAGGCCTTCGTTCTGCAGTGGCTAGAATGAGGCTGTGATGAGGATGGCGAGGAGGACTACATAATTAAAAAAGAGAACATTTCACTTAGACCACGTTACTGGGCCATCATTTATTCTTAAAAGCAACGTATGGTCATGCTTGTATTTATATGGTCTACTACTTTTAATCAACTATAATCTAGAAAAAGATGGTAAATGAATATTGGTTAAAAGCGGGTAAAGTAGAAATATATAACCAAGGTATCAGGTTATATGCCATAGCTTCTGTAAGTGCACATCTAAAATATTTACAAATCCTCATTTGCATAGCAGACTCATGGCACTGATTATTTAGAAGCCACTAAAATGGGATTATATCAATTCTTTTTAAAAAAGGTATGCACATGCATAAAATATGTAACACATACAAACACAATAAGAATTAGGAGTAGAAGAAAACTGTATGGTGATAGCACTGGTAAAAAGAATTTCTTTGAGAGAATAAGCTCTAAGGGAAAAACAAAAATAATTCAAAATATAAAGAAAAGTGAAATAAACCCCTCTGAAGCGGATGACCTGCATAAACTATCCTCTTACTTAGGCTGACAAGTTAAATGGAAATGATCATGGCCTATCAGCCATTTTTTAGTAAACAATAGTATTTAGTAAATAACATGTATCAATCATTATGTGCCAGGCACTCTTTTAAGTATTTTACATGTGTCAATTTATTTACTCTCCCAGTAACCCATGAGATAGGTATTATAATTATTCCCATTTTACAAATAAGAAATCAGAGCACACAGAGGTTAAGTAATATAACCAATGCACACTGCAAGCACATGACAGGGCTGGGATTAAAACACAGGACATCTGTCTGGTTCTAGAATCCAATGCTCTATCAGTCACTACGTGTACAGCCTAAGTGGCTAAGAGAAGGATTTTAATAGTAATTTATGAGATCAGATTCGAATGAGAAGAGCAGTAATCCTCTTAAAATTAGGTATTTTGAGTGTCACCTTTTGTACGCTACTGTACCACAAAAACCTAAACTGACCCAACAGTTTTCTATGAAATAAACATGCTTACAATAACTTATTTATGGTAATTGAAATAATTTTACAATTGTCACCTCCAATAAATAACACCAGAACATGAAATAAAAAAATTTTTATTTGCATGACAAAATTATAATCACTTATAACCATAATAAGAAGCAATAAGAATAGTGATATAAACCCTTGCTTAGTGATAATGTTGATTTCATTAACCATGACCTAGTCTCTTTAGGAAAATGAAAGGATTTTCCCTGAATGATTTCTAAAACTCATTCAACCCTGAAATTTTTATGATCCTACTTAGTACTTTCAATCTATGTAAATAACAGCAACCTAAAATAAAGTTACTATTGTGATGAGGGTTTAAAAAACATGTTTGTGAATACTTCACAATAAGAATCAGTCAATCAGAAATACATAAATGAATCCTATACTTGGCTCTATATGGGAACAAAGGTGTATATAATAAAGTGTCTACTCTCACAGATACAGCCTAATCAGAAGTTTGTCATATTCAATCTGATTACATTTAAATAAGAGAAAGATAAGGAAGGTAAGAATGGGTGAAAAGAAAAAGGGATATAGACGAAAAAGACAAAAAAATAAAGAGAGGAAGAGAGTTGCCAATGAGTAAAGGAGAAAACAAAACAAAATTTTTCTAAGAGTCTGGAGAGGGAGACATTACTAAGACAGAAGCAGCAGTGAAGGTGTACACTGAAAAAATGTGTAACGTTTGGGCAGGTGAAATGAGAAAGGTATTCTAGTAAAGAATTCAGTGTGAGAAAAAGAACAGAAATAGCAACAAATAGGACATGTTCAGAGGACTAGACTATCAGGTCTGTGATTTGATTTTATCCTTTCAATCTAAAAAGTTCGCCTGTTACTTTATGGATGATGGTAGAGGACATGAGGGTCCTGGGTCAGAGAAAAAGGACATTACTCACAACACAGAAAGGAGCATGATCATCAGTATGCTTGTGTCAATTCACATGAGGGCAGTGCAGAGGGCCCAGATGGATGACTATACAGGAGAGGAACACTGAGTTTGGGGAAACCGACATTTTATAGCAAGCAGTAAGCAAACGTACTCTTTGTTCTAGAACAGAGGTCCACAAACTGCAGCTCGCAAGCCACATGCGGCTCTTTGGGTACATTCCGTCTCAAAAGTTTGCTGACCCCTGAAGAGCCAATCCTGTCCCTCACAACAATTTAAAAATTATTCGAGAGCCATAAATATATATTTTACATAATCACCATTATGTGAATAATATCCTTTAAAATTTTTATAAATGAAACTATGATAGTTTCGTTTTCAATTTTACTTCAGAGCCATATGCACGTACCCCAAGAGCCGCATATGGCTCGCCAGCCGCAGTTTGCTGACCCCTGGCAGCTCTTCCATCTCAAAAGTTTGCTGACCCCTGTTCTAGAAGCAGACATTACCTCATCTACCACTACTGCTTACTGAGAAAAGCAATTTCCAGTTTTAAGTATGATGGCCCTCTTTTTTGCCATTTTTTAAGAACTTTTTTTAAAACTTAAAAAAAAAAATTCCAATATACAGAGTTACAAAAACAAAAATACAGAAAACACCTTGATTTGCCTATGACATTTTACCCTAACTTCCTTTATCATCTTGCTTACACTCCTATCTCTTCCTTGCTCTGTACATACGTTTTTGAACGGTCTGAGGGTAAGTTATATATATCTATATCTATATCTATATATAGATAGATAGATATATATCATGGCCCTTTACTCCTAAATACTTCAGTATTTCCTAAGACTAAGAAAATTCTCTTACATAACAGTAGTCATCACCTTCAAATGTTATATAGATATACTTTTGTCTATTGTCCATCCATATTTTAATTTTGTCAGTCGATCTATTCATGTCCTTTGTAGCATGTTTCCTCAGGATTTAATCTAGAAACAGGTATTAACTTATCATATCTCTTTAGTATCTAACTTGGAAAATTTCCAAGTCTTTGTTTTTTATGACATTAACACATAGCTCCTTCACCTATTTTCTAATAAAGTTTTCAACATTAAAAAAAATCATGCTCTCTGTGAATACAAACAATTTTACTTCTTCCTTTCTAACACATATGCCTTTTATTTCTCTTTCTTTCCTAATTGCACTGGCTAGGACCTCTAGTACAATAATGAATTTCATTGATTTTCACTTTCTCCTGCGTGCTTTGGGTTTAAGTTATATGTATGTTATGTCTTCTTGGTGAATTGACTTATTTATCCTTAGGTAATGTCAAAGGTTATATGCCTTGTTCTGAAGTCCATTTCATTGAATGTTAATATACTTATTCCAGTTTTTTTTATTCGTGTTTGCATTGTACATCTTTTCCCATTCTTTTAATTTTAATCTTTCCATGTCTTTATATTAAAGTGACTTTCTTCTAGACAGCATATAATTGAGTCTTGCTGTTTACCAATATGATAACCTTTCTTTCAATATGTATGTTTACATTTAGACCATTTACATTTTATTAATTTCATTTAATTATTAATATGGTTGTATTAAAATCTGTCATCTTGCCAGTTATCTATTTTTTTTCACCTGTTCTTTGTTCTTTTTCTGCTTTTTTTGGATTTTTATGATTCCATTTTATCTCTACTACTATCTTATTGTTTATACTTCTTTTTACCTTTTTGAGTAATTGCCCTAAGATTTACAATATATACCTTTAGTCAGTGTACCTTCAAATACTATTACACCACTTCATATGTAGTGTAAGAATGTTACAGCAGTATTATCCCAATTTCTTCCTCTCATCCTCTGTGCTAGTCATACATTTTATTTTTACATATACTATAGATTTATAGTAACATTGTTACTATTTTTTATTTGGACAGTAAATTACCTCTAAAACAGATTTAAGAAGAATAAAATTTATTTTATATTTACCTTCAATTGTTCCATTTCCAGTGCTCTCCATTCTTTGTATAGATCCAAGTTGTAGTCCAGGTAAGCTGGTAATGTATTGTCTCAGGATTTGTTTGTGTCAAAGTCTTTAGTTTTGAAAGATATTTTTGCTCTATTGAATTCTTTCAGCACTTTAAAAATGCCATTCCATTGTTCTGGCTTATATAACTCTGATGAGAAAACTGCTAATTTTTCTTTGTTCCTCTGTGTCTAATGTGTCTTTTTCTCTGTCTTCCATGAACATTTTGCATTTATCTTTGTTTTCAGCAGTATGAATATTATCTCAGTGTGTGTGTGCATGTGTGTGTGTGTGTGTGTGTTTGTGTGTGTGTGTGTGTGTTTTAGAGGGTAGGAATATTTATATTACCTAGTGTTCTCTGAGATTCTTGAAGCTGTTTGACATCTTTATTTTTTGCAAAATAGTTGGATATAGTGCCTTTTTTTTTTTTCAGTCATATGCCCACTCCTCACCCCCACCTCTCTCTTTTCCTTCTGGGATTCTACTTTCATGTATTAAATGATTTGCAATTGCCCCACAGCTCTTGGATACTCCAGAATTTTTGTTGTTGTTGCTGTTGTCTTTTTCCCATGATATTTAATTTTTACGACTCAGTTTAAATAAATGTCTAGTGATTTATCTTTACATTTACTGATTCTTTCCTTAATTTTGTTTTCCTAATTTTGAGTCTACTGGAGAACCCATTAAAAGCATTTGTCATTTCTGGTACTGTGTTTTTAATTACTAGCATTTGTTTCATTCTCTCTCCACGTTGATGTTCCCCACCTGTTGGTATATGCTGTCTACCCTTTCTACTTGAGCCTTTAATATATTAGTCATAGTTATTTTAAATTGCATCTGACAGTTCCAACATCTGGATCATATGTGAGTCAGATTCTGTTGATTGCTTTGTTTCATGATAGTGTGTTATTGTTTCCTTTTTTGTCTTGTAATTTTTGGTTAAAAGGCACACATCTTGTGTGGGAGCACAGAGGCTGAGATAAAGTCTTTATGCCGGGAAATGAGCATGCTTTTTCTTCTGCTAAGCCTTTAGTGTGTGGAGTTGAGTCAATCTAGTGA